AGGCGCGTTACGTTGCACGAGGCTTCAGTCAGCGAGAGGGAGTTGACTTCTTCCAGACCTTCTCCCCTACCCCGAAGATGACCACTCTTCAGGTTCTGCTGCACGTCGCCGCTCAGCGTGACTACGAGCTCCACTCTCTTGACTTCAGCACTGCTTTCCTACAGGGCAGCCTGCACGAGGAGATCTGGCTCCGCCGCCCACCTGGCTTCACTGGGTCTTTTCCTGCTGGTACCCAGTGGAGCCTCCGGCGGCCAGTCTACGGTCTCCGCCAGGCACCCCGTGAGTGGCACGACACACTGAGGACGACTCTCGCTGCTCTTGGGTTTGCTCCTTCTACTGCTGACCCGTCGCTGTTTCTACGCACCGACACCACTCTGCCGCCGTTCTACGTTCTCGTGTACGTAGACGACCTGGTCTTTGCTACTGCTGACACTGAGGCACTTGCCCACGTGAAGTCGGAGCTGCAGAAGAGACACACGTGCACAGACCTGGGTGAACTGACAAGCTATCTTGGCTTGCGGATCACCCGGGACAGAGCACAGCGCACCATTACCTTGACTCAGTCACACATGGTGCAGCAGGTCCTTCAGCGCTTCCGCTTCACGTACTCCTCGCCACAGGCCACTCCTCTGCCTACGCGCCACTCGCTCTCAGCTCTGCCTTCGGATGAGTCCGTAGAGCCGAGTGGCCCATATCCAGATCTTGTGGGCTGCCTCATGTACCTGATGACCTGCACTCGACCTGACCTTGCATACCCTCTTAGCATCCTCGCACGCTATGTTGCTCCTGGCCGTCACAGGAAGGAGCACATGGATGCTGCTAAGAGGGTGTTGCGCTACTTGTGCAGTACGTCGGGCATGGGGCTCGTGCTTGGAGGACGGGCTCGAGTTGTCCTCACTGGTCACGCAGACGCTTCTTGGGCTGACGACTTGGCTACGCAGCGGTCGTCACAGGGTTACACCTTCAGTCTTGGCTCCGGCTCTGTTTCGTGGCGGTCTACCCGCTCGCTCTTCTGTTCTCGGCTCCAGCTGTGAGGCCGAGATCTACGCAGGGGCCATGGCTGCACAGGAGTTACGCTGGCTCACTTAGCTGCTGACCGACCTGGGAGAGCCGCCTCGTTCTCCTCCAGTTCTGTATGTCGACAACAAGGCCATGCTGGCCTTGTGTCAGGAGCACAGACTGGAGCACAGAACGAAGCACATTGCTCTTTGCTAATTCCTCGCACGTGAGCTGCAGCAGCGTGGTCAGCTGCGCCTTGCTTACGTGGCCACTCAGGCCAACACTGCTGATATCTTTACCAAGGCACTTCAGCCTTGTGATCATCAGCGCTTTTGTACGATGCTAGGTCTTGTGCCCACTTGACCTCACTTGCTTACTTCTTAACCTTCCTTGTACTGTAATCTATATATACCTGCTCTTGCTTGTTTACCTTTATATATATGATCCTGCATGTGAACTGGCCTTGTGGCCTTTGAACCGGTGCTCGGACTGTGTGGTGACATTGTGATCCACCCTGAGCTTGCTTTGCTTGACTGGTCTTGTGACCCCTAGTTCTCCCCCACTTTGCCTATGGGGGTGTGTCAGATATATATGACTTAGTCTGTGTAGGCTATAGTGGGGTAGACACTAAGGGGTACAAGTTTCTAGGGTCTCCTATTTGTACACAACATTTCCTAGTTCATTATATTCCTCATTTCTTCACATGGGTACGGTACGAGTATGAGACAAGTACGCGCGCGGGACGGGTACGAGAAGGGCTTGACAAGGAGCGTGCTTTGCATGGCAGCGCACGGGACGGGACGGGTCAGCGCACGGGACGGGGCGGGGCTGACGGGCGGGGCTGGGCCTGCTATCGGGCGGGGCGGGCCTACAAACGAGTGGGGCGGGGCGGGCCTACGAACGAGTGGGGCGGGGCCTGCGAAGGGGCGGGGCGCGGCCCGCTAAGGGGCGGGGCGCGGCCCGCTAAGGGACGGGGCGGGTGGCTAGTCTAGGCTAGGATCGGGTACCTACTCGTTATACCGTCTCGGAAACAGAATATCGGAAATGAATTAACTACGAATGTAGGTAGTACAAGTACAACCCTAAAATGTGCTATACTCTCTAGAGTGTGCCTCACTACAGTTTACAGAGACCGCTTGGATCAGGGTTTTTTCCATCGACTTTGCGCTCACACGACTCGACTGACTCGCATCACACCATCAATTACGTATTCCAGTGGAAGGCTCCCCAGTGATTCGTTTGAGGAACAGGCTGACTGGCCGCACTATGGGGTGGGGTAAATCAGTGTACTACGCTAATGTGCATCACCCAGCAGTGGAACCGGACTTCAGAAAAGCTTTTACCGGTGAGATATAGGCCCTGTTCGGTAGCACTCACAACTTCCAAAATTTGGTTTGTTTGGCCGTTGAAAGACCCGCAAGTGACTACGTTTAGTGGTTTGGCACCGCGAAAATCGTGTGCGACCGTCGTGCGACTAACTGAAATGCCCCTCGTGGAAATGTACAACTGGTAATGTTGGCCGTTGAGATTTACATTCAGGTAGAAATGGTTTGTCATTTGTGCGCACAGTGCGGCGACCTGCTAGATTTTGCTGAGGTGTATCGGAGCTGTCAGAACTTCACGGCAGCAGCAACAGCAGCAAGGTTAGTGCAGGAGTGGCGACGGTGAAAGAGAGCATGGAGTCGGTGCGAGCCTTCATGTCCGGCTCAATCACGTACGTGCTGCTCGCTGCTCGCTGCTCACTACTCACTGTTGCAGTCGCCCATGCACTCTGTATACATCCACAACACTCCACCACCTGCCTCTGTTCATCAGACACCGCACACTCATGCTCCATTTTCTCTTGCTCCCCTTTCTTCCTCCCCTTCCCTCCCTTCCCCCCAGTTCGGCCGCCACTCGCTCCACGCAGAGGCGCCCCTCATCGCGTCCTCCTTCTCCCGCGGCCCCCTCATGCAACCCACTGCCAACCCCGCCGCCCCCAAGCCTACCAACGACATCCTCAAGCCCGACATAATTGCGCCAGGTGTGGAGCTGTGGAGTGCAGGCCCGGGGCAGTACTTGGGCGACCCCAACAGCTACTTCTCCGCGCTCTCCGGCACCTCCATGGCCACACCACACGTGGCGGGCATTGCAGCACTGCTCGTGCAGCGCTACCCCACGTGGACGCCTGCCATGGTCATGTCAGCCATGATGACATCAGCAGCAACAAGCAACAACAAGGGGTTCAGCATCCGGGATTCGTCGAGCGACTTTGCGACGCCGTGGGACATGGGCGCAGGGCACGTGAACCCGATGGGGCTGCTGGATGTGGGGCTGGTGTACGACGCGGATGCACTCGACTTCAAGAACTTCCTTGCCGGGCAGAACCTGGCCAAGGCCAAGGCAGCGTTCAAGAGCATGCCGGTGAAGGCCATGAAGGTGTACAACCTCAACCGCGCCTCTATCTCCGTGACGCGGTTTGTGGGGACCGTGGTGGTGATGCGCGAGGTGACGAGCGTGGGCAACGCTACGAGCACGTACAAGGCGGACATTGTGGTGCCGGATGGGGTGCTGCTCACCGTGAAGCCCGCCAACTTCAGCATCACGCCCAATGAGACGGTGCCGTTCAATGTGGCCATTGTGGCCATCCGCACGGGCAGCACGGCGTTCTCGTACGGCAGCCTAACGTGGCGCGACCAATGGGGGCATGCCGTGCGCTCCGTCATCGTGGTGCAGCCTCTCAAGCTCAAGTGACGCGCGCCTTCCAGCGCACCGTGGCGCCGGGCTGCCAGCTAATATTCTACTCCCATTGCTCACCTGCACCCGTGTGTGCCATGCAGTGGTGCAGCAGCTTTTTTTTTTTTTTTTTTTTTTAGTGATGAAAGATACACTATAAGTGCACAATACATCGGCAGTCGTAACTGCAGTGGTGCAGCAGTGCTGTGCCGAGTGCTTTGAGAGGAGGCAATTGTATGATAGGAGAACAGGGCTGCAAAGTAGGTGTAGAGCTGTGTGCTGTCTTGACTTCCCTTGTGGGTTGCTTGTCTCCGGGAACTTGTATATTTAAAAAAAAATATTCCTGGTTTTCAAAACTGTAGCTCCAGCTTGACAACTGGAAACATAAAAATCAGTGCTTGACAAAATCTTAGCTTGTCTGGTGCTAAACTTGAATCCATGAATCGTTGGCAGCATCATTTTTGGCGACTCTTCAATCACGATTCACACGATACTTCACAACCAACAGGAATCGCCGCCATTACCACAACCAGAGCACACCATCAATCAATCCGTTGGCATGTTCCACTGAGGAACAACAGGCTGACTGGCCGCCAGGGCTCTCATTATCAGGGTAAAACACCCTGATTGCCCTGACTGGCGGCCGCTTTTTTTTCAGTTACCCTTTCCCAGGAAGGGTAATGGGATTTTTACCCTAGGCAAGAAAGTGTATTTCTTTTTTTACCCTTTGAAAAACAGCGTATAGGATTTGTTTCTCTGATTGTACAGGGTACGATCTGAACTATACTGATACCGAATGCTCCGTAGCGAGACGAAACACTATTCGAGCCCCTGCAAAATCCTCCCAATACGCAATCGTACCAAATGAGCCACTAAGTGTTGAACCGGATTACTTTCGCATTTATTCATACATACATAAACAAATTACCCTGCCCAAACAGACTTATAGTTTTTTTACCCTGAATTTGTCAGGGAAATATTTTTTTTTACCCTAAGCATCAGGGTTGACTATACATAGAACCCTGATTACTAAGGGTGGCCCAAAACGAATCTGAAGCCCTGCTGGCCGCACTATGGGCCGGGGTAAACCAGCGTGTACTGCCCTAATTTGCATCACCCAGCTGCGGAACCTGATTCTAGAAAAGCTTTTAAGAAATTTAAGAATTTAGCCTAGAATATACAGAGTAAAGAAGCATGGCGAGAGCCAATACAGAGCAGTTTGCGTGCGCAAATCAGCCCACCCCAAGAGCCCTAAAAATCAGCCCACCATGCACGCTTGAAAGCGTTTAGTTGAGGGGCTCCCTTGGGAACTCCTCGACGGGACTGAGCTGCTTGGCGCGGTGGTACTCGGTTTGCGCGCAGTCCACGGACAGCACGGAGCTCGACTCGTACAGCCGCGGAGTACCGTCCAGGAACCCAGCGCCCTCCTCGCTGTCAGCCGAGATCGGACGGTGCAGGTTTGCGATCAGACGCTGGAAGTCGGCGGCGCGCGCCGCGTGGTCGGGGCGGTACGTCTGGCCGAGCACGTCGTGCACGTCGTCCGTGTGCTCCAGCTCCACGATGCCCATGTTAATGTGCGCCTCGGCGTCGTTGGGCGTCTGCAGCTTGGGGTTGGCGACGCGCAGACGCAGGTCGAGCGCCACGAGCCCGTCGATGTTGAGCGTGTAGTAGTCCACGTCATATGGGCCCTCCTTCTCCAGAGCCGCGAACCTCAGAGTCAGCCCGCCCTCCATCGTCACCTCGTCGCCCACGCTCATCCTCGGGATCTCCTCGCCGTCGATCTCGATCGCCTTCATGAAGCCGTTGCCGCGCTCCTGCTGCTTGCCGCCGCGCGCCGCCAGCCGCACCTTGTGGTCGGCGCCGTTGGCGAACCACACGATACCTAACTCCTTGATCCACGTGTGCACGGCCTTGCCGTCCACCACCAGCGCCGCATTCTCCGTGTCGTCCGAGTAGTACCCGCGCAGAAGCATGTTCACGTGCAGGTCACGGTCCGTCAGAAGGCAGAACGCCTTGTCGGGCCGCCCGTTGAAGTCGAAGTGCGTGCCGTACGCGCCCACCAGATGCGGGTCGTTCACCACGTTCGCAGCAGGGTTGCACTCGCCGCCCGTGCGCACCTGGAGAGCGAGGGGCTTCGAGTCCGTCGCGTACTGCGCCGTGAGCTCGCCGCACGAGTAGTCGATGTTGTCGTGCACCAGGTAGCACGCGCCGTCCGATTTCTTGCCGTCGATCGTGATGTCGGGGATGTACTGCCAGTACGTGCAGCTGCTGTACCCCGCGCACGTGTTGCAGCACGTCTGCGGGGAGGCCTTCTTCAACGTCAGCGGGTTGCCCTTCACGTACACCTCCACGCCCAGCTTGTTCTTGAGCAGGTTCGACGTCTTCCACTTGGCGGGGATGCCGCCCTTGCTGCAGTTGGCGGGCGTGCACGCGCCTTGCCCGGGCGCGTCCAGGTCCTTGTGGCACTTCATGGCGTTCCACCCGGCCTTCTTCACGTCCACCATGAGAATATTGTCCGTCGTCGGGCTCACCACCGTCGTGCCCTTGAAGTCATCCAGGTTGCCCGCAGCCGCCGCCTTCTCGATGCTAGAAGGGACCACCATCGCCACGCCATTGTCGCCCTTGGCTTGGTCCAGGTTGACCGTCGGGTTCTTGGGTCCGGTCATGACGGTTTGTCCAGCGGACGCAACCACCAGTAGCACGGCGAACGATGCGACAAAAAGTAAACGCGCCATGAGGTAAGCTTGTGTGGTCAACCTATTACAAAGTACAAAATAAAATGTAGTTAGCTCGGAAACGTATTCGACTACTCTTGGCTGGATAATAAAGGAGCCCCGCGCCTTGTGTCACCGTGGAAACTGACAGAAGCTGATTTCGAGATGTCGCGGGTGCTAGCGTCGCTATAGCTGTGGATGAGTTGGGTTGCTAGCTCCCCTTGCTGGTTTTGTACAACCGGCATTGTGCGTCTCCCGCTCTTCACTGGTAAATTCAGGTTTCGGTTTGATTGTTGTTGCGAGCCGCGACCACATGGTTTTTCCGAATCGCGCTCAGAAAAATAGCAGCGACTGTACTGTACCGGTATTTAGTTCGACCTGCGACAGAAGCGTCCCTCACTGGCTAAAACAGTCAGGTTTCCCGTCAGGCACATTTTGTGGATGGTGGTATTTCGCGAATCGCAGGTATCAGGTGTGTATGCAGTTGTCAACCAGCCCAGTCCAGGCATAATCGTGATTGGCGAGTTGGGCTTCGGTCGCATTCTTTCGCCGCTCCGCGTTTCGCTTCCTTCTCTCCTTTCGCGTTCTTTATTGGGTTTTGAGTTAATCACTATAAGGAAATTTCCCCTTTCCTTACCTTGCGCCCCTCCTTACCAAGTACACGACTATTCCCGCAAACATTACCCAACAATAAATCGTTACCACTAGCGACACTCGCCACTGTTCACATAGCGACCCAACCTCACGGCTCGGTTGGTAATCCGCGCTCCAGCCTTCCGCCTCGACAATTCCCAACCTCGGCGCCGGGCCCGTCGCGCACCCCACATTTCGCTCGTTACCGTTACGACGCTAGTTCGCTATATAACATCCGCTAATTCCTTCGCTCAATGTACTGTTTTGCTTCGATGGTGAAATCTTCGTTCACTCACTCAATTGCACTTGTAACACTTGGTATTTAGAGCCACGACCCTTTTCAACAGCGCCCACACCTTTGCTTCCCGAATTATCGCAGTATTTGGGGGGATAGACGTCCGTCAGCAACCAAGCACATCTGCTCGTGTGCTCTCTCGTAAGCACACTCAGCGACGACATAGTCTCTCGCTGAGCTAGCTCGGCACCCCCGCCATGGACGAATCCTGCCGAATTCCTCTCGCGACATTGACATAGGAGCGACTCGACGAACAAATGCGCCAACTCGAGGAGTCTTTGAAATCGCGACGCTCACGGCGGAACGTGACTCCGTGCGACAACAGTCAACGATGAACGCACCGGCATCAGCAAAAAAAAAAATGTAATTGCACAAACTGAAGAGCACATTGTCATCTCATCCGGGACACCATTGCAACACGACACCGTGGAACAGCGATCTGCCGCAATTAGTGATGGCTCCTCCCAATCTATGCCGGACATGGAGAGAACCAGGGAGGCATCGGGCGGGAACACACCTTGCGGAGAATGTTAGAATAAGGATCCTTGGATAAAATAAGTCTGCAAGAGTTGGTAGCGGAAGTCTTGTAGTAGTAGTAGGAACCTTGTGCATAGTCAATGTAAATGACAAGATTGGTTAAAAAGAAAACATTGCACACATATAAATATATCCTAGCTAGCCATGTACTCTAAGAGGTACATTCCCTTATTAACTATAATGCAATGCTACAGTGCTAGTGATCCTTGCAATTCCTTCGCTGGTAACCGTTCGGTCCTGGTCAGTCAACAGTCGCGACAATTGACTTGCGACTGTTGACCTGCGTGCCTTATATTGGCTAACGCATACTGCTGCTGTTGTTGTTCGGTAGTAGCAGGTGCGTTACTGCTGCACCTTCGGGAATGCTTAAGTAATTCCCTGCTTTGTCCAACACTCCCCTGCATTCCTGGAGGTGCGCCACGTGGCTCTTCTTGACGACTCCGCACAGGTCCGTGCAGTACTGGAATTTCTGACTTGGTAGTTTCTTCGTCAGAAAGTTGGCTGATATCTCGCCAGTTGGGCAGTAGGTAAGCTGGACCTTGCCCTTGTCGATATCGTCCTTGACGAAGAAGTAACGGAGGGCGATGTGTTTCAGTGCGATTGACGAAGACGGGCTTGTTTGCGATCTTGATCGCGCCCTGGTTGTCACACAGTCGCTTGAATGACCCATTCATCGCCATCTTTGTATCCTGTAGGAGCTCCGTAAGGTAGAGTGCTTTGCGAACTGCTGCACTTGCTGCGATGAGATCAGCTTCTGCTGACGAGACCGCGATGAGCTTCTACTTCTGTGAGTTCCAGGAGATGATTCCCGCAGGTTCGAGCTTGAAAATAAATCCCGTGCGGAACCTCATGTTGTCTGCGTCCCCTGCGTGGTCAGCATCCACGCAGCTAGTAAGCTGTAGGTTAGCCGTTAGATTCGCTTTGTAGGTGAGGCCGACGTCGGGAGTGGAGATGAAGTACTGTTGGGCGCGTCGTAGGTCCGCCATGTTCTTCCTTTCAGGTCGGCGTAGGTACTGGGTGAGCTGGCTAGCGGCGTACGATAGGTCCGGGCGGCATGTGACAGCGGAGCTGCTGGTAGAGGCGGTGGTCAGCAGCGGATCGTGGGGTGGTATCGGTTTCGTGGTTAGGAGGAGGGACGCGGAAGGGAGTGGTGAGACCAATGGGAGCGATGCCGAGCTTTTTGGCGAGCGTCTCGGCGTACTTCGCGGTGGACGTGGATCGTGTCGGCCGTCTGTGTCACGTTGAGTCCAAGGAATTGGGTGACATTGTGGTTCACAGTCTCCTCAAGCTTCTGCTTGATGTCGCTCTCGAAGCGATCAAGCAGCTCCACGTTGTCCACGGTGTAGAGCAGGTCGTCCACATAGGCGACGAGCAGAATGAAACTGCCGCGGGACTCGAGCCGGTACATCCCCTGGTCGTGGGGCAGCTGCTGGAACCCGAGCTCGATGAGCACCGTGTGGAGGCACCTTCTGCCACAGGCGCGGTGCCTGCTTGATTCAGTAGAGGAACTTCTGGAGGAGGCACACGGCATCGCTGTCCTCCTCGAATGCGTGCGGCTGCTCGACATAGATGATTGCGTCGACGATCGCGTACAGGAATGCATTCGACACGCCGATCTGGCGGAGTGGGCGCTGCTTTATTGCTGCAACACAGATGAGGATTCGCACGGAAGTGTGACGTCCGACAGGTGCGAAGCTTTGTCATAATCTACAAATTGGGTTTGTTTGGAGCCGCGAACTACCCAGCGTGCCTTGTATTCGTCGATGGCGCCGTCTGCGAGAGTCTTGATTCTGAACACCCATTTTCCTTTGAGAATTTTCCTCCCCTTTGTGTGTCGGCGTGGTACCAGCTTCCATGTTCCGCGCCTCTTGAGTGCAGCGACTTCAGCGGCCATGGCTGCTCTCCATTTCTCGGCATCGGGTCCCTGCAAGGCCTGGCGTACAGTGGTGGGCTCGACGAGCTGCTGGTTACAACAGATGGCGACGGCGAGGCCGAGGATGCGAAGTCCGGTGAGGTTGGTTTCGGCTGCGTCGGTTACTTCGACCACGTCGTTGTCATCGCCAGGGATGTCGCGAATGGTGTCACGAGAGGGATTATGGTTGGGGTCTTCTTCCATGGGTGAGTGCTTTTTTTTACTTGCATAATCGTGCTGTGCTTGTAGTGCTTCGTGTTGATGAGATTCAGTTGGGAAGAATGTTGCTGTGCCGAACTCCTCCATAACAGGTACGGAGGGTGCCTCTCCTGCGGTTGGTTCAACTGGCTGTTCTCCTGCCATGTCAACCTCGTCCTGATCACTTGCGTAGCTGTGCTGTCCCTGGAAGATGTTGTCTGGTTCGTTTTGTGCATTGCGGTGCTGTCCGTACAGTGGCAGGGTCAGCCTTTCGTAGAAGATGCAGTCACGTGAACGCGTGACTTGGTGGGTGGCGAAGTCGAGAATAGTCCAAGCATGGTACCCCGGTTCGATGCCGAGGTGGATGCCCCAGCGTGCGCGATCTTCAAATTTTCCAGTCCGAGCAGTGTGGGGGCGGTACTGTACCATACACCCGAAAACCCGAAGCATGCGCGCGTCCGGATTTTTTGCTGTCCACTCCTTGAAAGGTGAGGTGTTGTTGGGCAAGGCGTTTGAAGAGAGCATGTTGTGGAGGCGTACAACATGCGCCATCGCGAAAGGCCAATAGATGGTTGGCACGGCTGACTGCTTCATGAGATCTCACATTTTTTTCGCGAGGCTCCTGTTGGTTCTCTCCGCCAATCCCTGCTGTTCGTGAGCATAGGGGAGGGAAATCATCCGCTGGATCCCCTCCTCCGCACATAGGTTTTTGAAGTCCCCTATCTGGTACTCCAGTGATCCGTCTGTTTGGAAGGCTTTCAACTTCTTGCCTTCGCTCTGTGTTTCCGCCATTTTCAGCCACAGTAGAAGCAGTCGTACGCGACGTGGCGATTAGAGACGTTTGCAGCCCAGACGAAGCGTGTGCCAGCATCGATGAATGTGATTGTGTACTGCTCCCCTTTTAGTCCTTTCGCCGTGAGCACCGTTCAACTCTGTCGAGGGGTTCGTACCGTTCAACTCCAGGTATCTTCGCAGCGAAGGGAGTGTGACGCAGCGCGGCCACTGGACAGACGGTACAGTTGGGTAAGTCGTCCTTTGGCTTGAGCAATTTTCCGTCGAGCAGCAACAGTGCGTCTTCCGCGAACACCTTGGCTTTAAAGTAGCGGTTGAGCACCTCAATTGATGGATGTCCGAGTCGTTTGTGCCAGATGTCGGGGTCGGCGCGATATCCCTGTGTGCGTGCATAGAGCTGCTTCTCTCGTGCCAATAGCGGTTTCCTTTCCCACTTCGTCCGCGGGTACTTCCGGGACAAGGGCTTCACCTGCTGCCGCGCGAAGAGGTTCCAGTTTCGCTCTGTGGTACACTCCGCTGGAATCGCCGATGGTTGGTGTCAATCGTCACGGGAAGCTCCAACGGCCCTTTCGGAGGTGGCGGCGTGATTCTGTCAGAATGAGAACGAAGGAAATGATTGAACTAGCAAGCAGGTGGGTACAAGTAGGAAACCTA